ACCCCCCCAATCTTAACCTGAGTCCGCTTCGATCCAGCGATGTGTCTAGGACTCTTCCTCCTCATTGGCTGAGACAGCAGCGGGAGCTGATAAGGAGAAAGCGGGGGTGGGGTCCAGCCATGGCTCTATGTGTCTTATGGGAGCGTAGAGCAGCAGCTTGGGGGCGAGCACCTTTCCCTGGGGGCACTGCTCAAGGGGGAGGTGTCAGGTGCACGGGTTGGGGATCCGAAAAGGAGAGCTCTGTGTAAAACCACTGAATAAACAGGTTATTTAACCACTTGCCCTCCAGAGGATTTACCCCCCCTTCCTGGCTAGGCCATTTTTTGCGATATGGTGCTGCGTTACTTTAATTGACAATTGCGCGGTCCTGCAACGCTGTACATAAATTTTTTTCCCCCCACAAATAGAGCTTTCTTTCGGTGGTAATTGATCACCTGTGCTGTTTTAATTTTTTGCGCTATAAACAAAACAAGACCGACAATTTTGAAATAAAATGTTATATATATATATATATATATATAATTTGACGTTTTGCTATAAAACAATCCAATAAAAAATGTTTTTAAAAATCTAAAATTTATTCATAAATTTATGCCAAAATGTCTTCGCTAAAAAATATATCCCAATAAATGTATATTAATTGGTTTATGTGAAAGTTATAGTGTTTACAAATGGTGGTATAGATACTGGAATTTTTTTTAGTTACTAGTAATGGCGGCGATCAGCGACTTATAGTGGGATTATGGCAGGAATTCTGACACTAGGTGGGAACTAACTGCCACTGACATCCCCAGTGACACCAATACAGTGATCAGTGCTAATAAAAAGCACTGACACTGTACTAATGACACTGGGCAGGAAGGGGTTAACATCTGGGGCAATCAAAGGGTTAACAGTGTGCTGTGTGTTTTACATTGTGTGCTGTTTTACTTGGGAGGCATGCTGCTTTGTATCGCTCTGCTGTGTAGAGAGATACAAAGCAGTATATCCATGCTGACAGGAGAGAGATCTGTGTTTACACACAGATCTCTCCCCTCTCAGCCCTGCCAACAATCGCCGAATCCTGGCCGAGAATTGCAGGCTGGGATCTGGTGATTGACATCCCCAGCAGTGATGCAGGTAGGGCGCCTCTTACCTGGGAATGCAAAATAGATAGACAGACAGACAGATAGATATAGATAGATAGAGTGAAGGAAATAAGTATTTGATTCCCTGATTTTGAATATTTGCCCACTCACAAAGAAATGATCAGTCTAAAAATCGAATGGTAGGTGTATTGTAACACAGGGACAGAATAGCAAAAAAAATAAATAAAAAAATAAATAAATAAATACATGCCTAAAAAATTATGCACTGATTTGCATGTTCATGAGGGAAATACAGGTGAAACTCGAAAAATTAGAATATCGTGCAAAAGTTCATTTATTTCAGTAATGCAACTTAAAAGGTGAAACTAATATATGAGATAGACTCATTACATGTAAAGCAAGATAGTTCAAGCCGTGATTTGTCATAATTGTGATGATTATGGCTTACAGCTCATGAAAACCCCAAATCCACAATCTCAGAAAATTAGAATATTACATGCAATCAATAAAACAAGGATTGTACATAGAACAATATCGGACCTCTGAAAAGTATAAGCATGCATATGTACTCAGTACTTGGTTTGGGCCCCTTTTGCAGCAATTACTGCCTCAATGCGGCGTGGCATGGAAGCTATCGGCCTGTGGCACTGCTGAGGTGTTATGGAAGACCAGGATGCTTCAATAGCGGCCTTCAGCTCTTCTGCATTGTTCAGTCTCATGTCTCTCATCTTTCTCTTGGCAATGCCCCATAGATTCTCTATGGGGTTCAGGTCAGGCGAGTTTGCTGGCCAATCAAGCACAGTAATCCCACGGTTATTGAACCAGGTTTTGGTGCTTTTGGCAGTGTGGGCAGGTTCCAAGTCCTGCTGGAAAATGTCAGCATCCCCATAAATCTCATCTGTGGAAGGAAGCATGAAGTGCTCCAAAATCTCCTGGTAGACAGCTGCGTTGATCCTGGACTTAATGAAGCACAGTGGACCAACACCAGCAGATGATATGGCTCCCCAAATCAACACAGACTGTGGAAACTTCACACTGGACTTCAAGCATCTTGCAGTGTGTGCCTCTCCATTCTTCCTCCATACTCTGGGTCTTTGGTTTCTAAATGAGATGCAAAAGTTGCTCTCATCAGAAAAGAGGACTTTGGACCACTTAGCAACAGACCAGGTCTGATTTTCTTTAGCCCAGGTAAGACGCTTCTGACGTTGTTTGTTGGTCAGGAGTGGCTTGACAAGAGGATGACGACATTTGAAGCCCATTTCCAGGATCCATCTGTGTGTGGTGGCTCTTGATGCACTGACTCCAGCATCAGTCCACTCCTTGTGAAACACTTTTGAATGGCCTTTTCCTGGCAATCCTCTCCAGGCTGCGGTCATCCCTGCTGCTTGTGAACCTTTTTCTTCCACACGTTTCCCTTCCACATAACTTTCTATTAATGTGCTTTGATACAGCACTTTGGGAACATCCAACTTCTTTTGCAATTACCTTTTGAGGCTTTCCCTCCTTATGGAGGGTGTCAATGATGGTTTTCTGCACAACTGTCAGGTCAACAGTCTTTCCCATGATTGTGATTCCTACTGAACCAGACTGAGAGACCATTTAAAGGCTCAGGAACCCTTTGCAGGTGTTATGACTTAGCAAAAATGGTAATTGAGCGCTGGGTGGTATGATGATAGAAATAGTAATAGTGATGATAAACAAAGCCGCTAGCATAAAGGCAACCTCTAAACCCAATAAGAAAATATATAGAATAAATATGCAGCGCTAATATAGATAAGTGATAACACATAAGTTAGATAATTCAGTCCTTATAGTGATCAAACGTGATTATGTGCAGATATTCAGGAGTCCATGGTCGATAGTAATGGTGACTCTCTTGTGTACTAGTGAATGTACAAACGATGCACTAACCAGATAGCGCATTAATTGCGCATGGGGCAATTAAGACCTGCTCCTGGTGCTCTGAACTTGTAAAAACCAGGCAGATGTCATCCGCAGGTCAGCCACTAGATGTCCTCAGCAATCATTCCACCAGAGCCATCAGCAGCAGAAGGGGGAGGGGGGGGGGGATCCAATAGCAATCCAAATCCTCAGTACCTTCAAAAACGGGCTCACATGGAAATAATGAGCCCCCAGAAAGCTTCTAATAGTGTAGTATTTCTTTAATCATCCAAAATCCAACATACAATAAGTAAATCAAAACTTACATCAGAATCTACTCGGGCCACCAGTCAGGATGGCCTTGTGGTATATGCACACAGGTCAGGGGCACCTTCCTGATGCGTTTCGTGTAAAAATACTTCCTCAGAGGGAACACTACACAAGGCTGGACTGGGCTACCAAACTATGTGAGAAGGTGATAACAGTTGGTGCAATCATTCGCAAAACAACTGTCAGTCTCCCTAGGTCTGGTGCACCATGCAAGATCTCACCTCGTGGAGTGTCAATGATCATGAGAACAATGAGGAATCATCCCATAACTACATGTGAGGATCTTGTCAATGATCTCCAGGCAGCTGGGACCACAGTCACCAAGAAAACAATTGGTAACACACTACGCCGACAAGGATTGAAATCCTGCAGTGCCCGCAAGGTCCCACTGTTCAAGAAAGCACATGTCCAGGCCCATCCGAAGTTTGCCACTAAACATCTGAATGATACACAGGAGGACTGGTTGAAAGTGTTGTGGTCAGATGAGACCAAAATCGAGCTCTTTGGAATCAACTCAACTCGCCGTGTTTGGAGGAGGAGGAATGCTGCCTATAACCCCAAGAACACCATCCCAACTGTCAAACATGTTGGTGGAAACATTCTGCTTTGGGGGTGTTTTTCTGCTAAGACAGGACAACTGCACTGTATCAAAGGAACGATGGACAGGGCAATTTACCATCAAATCTTGGGTTAGAACCTTCTTCCCTCAGCCAAGGCACTGAAAATGGGTCGTGGATGGCATGACAATGACTCAAAACAGATGGACAAGGCAACAATGGAGTTGCTCAAGAAGAAGTACATTAAGGTTCTGGAGTGGCCTAGCCAGTCTCCAGACCTTAATCCGATTGAAAATCTGTGAAGGGAGCTGAAAGTTCGAGTTGCCAAACGTCAGCTACCAAACCTTAATGACTTGGAGAGGATCTGCCAAGAGGAGTGGGCCAAAATCCCTCCTGAGATCTGTGCAAACCTGGTGGCCAACTACAGGAAATGTCTGACCTCTGTGATTGCCACAAGGGATTTGCCACCAAGTACTAAGTCATATTTTGTGAAGGGGATCAAATACTTATTTCCCTCATGAACATGCAAATCAGTGCATAATTTTGTAGACATGTTTTCTTTTGAATTATTTGATGCTATTCTGTCTCTCAGTGTTACAATACACCTACCATTCGACTTTCTGACCGATAATTTCTTTGGGAGTGGGCAAACATTTAAAATCAGCAGGGGATCAAATACTTCTTTCATTCAATAAATATACACACACACACACACACATATATATATATATATATATATATATACATATACACACACACACACACACACACACACACACACACACACACACACACACACACACACACATATATACATATACACACACGTGATTTTGCGCAACCGTGCCGCACTCTAGCAGTACTTCTGCTATAGGGCAGAGGGCAAGTGGTTAAAAACAAAAGAAAAAAAAAACCTAAAATTTAGCGTCACTTTAAAATATGTCTCTAAATGTCCTAATGTGCATGGACACGTAGGATAACATTGAGCTGCGTCTACAGGCAAAATGGTAAACTGCTGTAGGAGCAGTGCCCAGTGTGCATGGACCCTTAGACAGCACTGTCATATGCAGACACCTTTCACAACAACTGTAGTAAGACTGCCAAAATGTAGATTATAAATCCCAAAAAGGTCATAAGGTCTTACTGAAGAATGAGTTGGAGACTGGCAGAGCACTTCATCTGGATCCAGGCTTTGCTCTACTTTGTCCTGCTCCTGGTGAAGGAGAGTCAGTCCTGCAGCAATGTCACTAGGAACCAAATCTGTGTCCTACAAGGAAAATGTTAGTCATGTCAGCACAAAGCAGATCAACAGCTTTGTAAAACAAAATTATCAAACCACATGCAGAAATGGAACTGGAAAATTGGAAGGCAGTCTTGGGATCACAAACAAGTCAGAAATGGCACTCTAAACAGGCTCATTTAAACAACAATTCAAGAAAACAAGTGAAACCAATCAGCAAACTATGAATGCTATTCATAAAATACTCACCATGATAAAATCAGGTCAATCATTTACCATTTTCAGAGTTCCTAATCCACTCAGCCAAACTCCAGGTAGCGATAAAGAAGGGGGTTTCTTATCAGCTGCCACTAAACACAGAACTAGAATAAACTAAACCACTGCTGCTGCAGACACCCTAATGTAATCCTAGAAACAAGAAAAAAACTACAACTACGAAATGGTTTCAAACTCCAGGTAGGTTTTTGGCACAATAGTTCTGCTCTATGCATTTTCCTTTTTCTGAGCCCAACTGGTAGCTGTGAGAAACTCCTTAGAACTAACATTTTGTTTACATCAGGTTTTTGTATGTGAGAGACCGTAAGGAACTAGCTGTGGGTATGTTTGCCAAGTTCCTCCCCTGTATTACAATCAGGGGCTCTCAGATCACAGCAGACATTGGGGTAGGCGGGTTTGGTGCACTACAGCTGCACCTGTAAGACAACCTAAAGCAATGATGTCAACTTTAAATTAGGATTTAAGTGTATCATTAAAGCCCAATGCTAGCCTAATTTACTAGGTTCTAGTTGGGAGCTTCTCTTCACTTCCCATGTTGTCATTGGAACAGAAAGCTAGATGAAATCTTCCCGAAAAAGAGACAAAGACAGTAGAACAAATCTGGAAGTTAAAGGCAGATTTGATGGTCTTTTCCTGTAGTCACTCTTATAAGGTATCTAAGGGTACTTTTAGCCCCACTCCACCGAAAAGAAAAAACAAATGCTGGTGTTAAGCTCAGAGGTCAAGTCCACCCAAAGTAATTTTCAGCTTTAAATGGATATTAGTATTACAAAATCCTAATTGCCCTGGTCCACTTCTGTTGCAGCCCTAAAGAAGAATAGAGCTCTGGAATATGCCCCAAAAAGACAGGCAGAGGACAAAAGGTCTAGTCACCATAATTCATGTGGTCTTCCTGCAGAGCTCTTCCTGATTTACTAAACCTGGAGAGTGCAAACTCTGGAGCAGCTATGCATGATAACCAATCAGCTGCCAACTTCAGCTTTTTCAATTAAACTTTGACAAAAAACCTGGAAACTGATTGGTTTATATGCAAATCTGCAGAATTTGCACTCTCCAGTTTTAGTAAATCAACCCCTGGGTCTCTTTATGGAGGTGGCCATCTTTTGCACTCTCCAGTTTTAGTAAAGCAACCCTTGGGCCTCTGTATGGAGGTGGTCCTCTTGGTAGAGGCAGGGTTTTGCTTCCTCATGTCACAGTCTCCAGCAAGAAGCCCAGTGAGCAGCAGAGTAGTGATATTACCAAATCTCACTACAAACATCCCAATCAGTCAGAGGCTGCAGTGCCTAAAGCAGCACATAGATGAGGTGGAAGGAAAGAAAATCAACACAGTCAGTTCTACAGTGCAGTCCAGCAGCCGCCAGCAGTAAATCAAATGTAAACAAATCTGTCTGGCTGGTTGTACGCAAGCTAAATGATGGATTGACCTGGGTACAATCAGCCTGCCCATAGATGGATCAAAGCTTGGCCGGCCCCTGCTGAACCATGTATGTCTGGCTTCAGATTGACACAGCAGATGGATAACGATAAGGTTGTAAACACAGAAATTCTTAGGCACCTCCTAATACCAGGAAATGTACTGCTATTTTTCAGAAGGAATTCAGGGCAAATAGTGATTTTTTTTTGGGGGGGGTACTGCTTAGGCAAAATTAACATTTTCTGATGTTCCCTAGAAATTAGAAATCTTTACTTTTTGAGTTCAGGTCCATGTTAATGAAATAAAGTGAAAAAGCCTAACAGTGAATGCAATATACAGTCAGGTCCATAAATATTGGGACATCAACACAATTCTAAAATATTTGGCTCTATACACCACCACAATGGATTTGAAATGAAACTAACAAGATGTGCTTTAACTGCAGACTGTCAGCTTTAATTTGAGGGTATTTACATCCAAATCAGGTGAACGGTGTAGGAATTACAACAGTTTGCATATGTGCCTCCCACTTGTTAAGGGGCCAAAAGTAATGGGACAGAATAATAATCATAAATCAAACTTTCACTTTTTAATACTTGGTTGCAAATCCTTTGCAGTCAATTACAGCCTGAAGTCTGGAACGCATAGACATCACCAGACGCTGGGTTTCATCCCTGGTGATGCACTGACAGGCGTCTACTGCAACTGTCTTCAGTTCCTGCTTGTTCTTGGGGCATTTTCCCTTCAATTTTGTCTTCAGCAAGTGAAATGCATGCTCGATCGGATTCAGGTCAGGTGATTGACTTGGCCATTGCATAACATTCCACTTCTTTCCCTTAAAAAACTCTTTGATTGCTTTTGCAGTATGCTTTGGGTCATTGTCCATCTGCACTGTGAAGCGGCGTCCAATGAGTTCTGAGCAATTTGGCTGAATATGAGCAGATAATATTGCCCAAAACACTTCAGAATTCATCCTGCTGCTTTTGTCAGCAGTCACATCATCAATAAATACAAGAAAACCAGTTCCATTGGCAGCCATACATGCCCACGCCATGACACTACCAAAACCATGCTTCACTGATGAGGTGGTATGCTTAGGATCATGAGCAGTTCCTTTCCTTCTCCATACTCTTCTCTTCCCATCACTCTGGTACAAGTTGATCTTGGTGTCATCTGTCCATAGGATGTTGTTCCAGAACTGTGAAGGCTTTTTTAGATGTCGTTTGGCAAACTCTAATCTGGCCTTCCTGTTTTTGAGGCTCACCAATGGTTTACATCTTGTGGTGAACCCTCTGTATTCACTCTGGTGAAGTCTTCTCTTGATTGTTGACTTTGACACACATACACCTACCTCCTGGAGAGTGTTCTTGATCTGGCCAACTGTTGTGAAGGGTGTTTTCTTCACCTGGGAAAGAATTCTTCAGTCATCCAACACAGTTGTTTTCCTTGGTCTTCCAGGTCTTTTGGTGTTGCTGAGGTTTCCGGTGCGTTCCTTCTTTTTAAGAATGTTTTGGCCACGCCTAATGTTTTTGCTATCTCTCTGATGGTTTTGTTTTGTTATTTCAGCCTAATGATGGCTTGCTTCACTGTCAGTGACAGCTCTTTGGATCTCATATTGAGAGTGACAGCAACAGATTTCAAATGCAAATAGCACACTTGAAATGAACTCTGGACCTTTTATCTGCTCATTGTAATTGGGATAAAGAGGGAATAACACACACCTGGCCATGGAACAGCTGAGAAGCCAATTGTCCCATTACTTTTGGTCCCTTAACAAGTGGGAGGCACATATGCAAACTGTTGTAATTCCTACACCGTTCACCTGATTTGGATGTAAATACCCTCAAATTAAAGCTGACAGTCTGCAGTTAAAGCACATCTTATTCGTTTCATTTCAAATCCATTGTGGTGGTGTATAGAGCCAAAAATGTTAGAATTGTGTCGATGTCCCAATATTTATGGACCTGACTGTAGACTCACAATTGCTGCATCAGAATATACAGGTAAAACTCAAAAAATTAGAGTATCGTGCAAAAGTTCATTTATTTCAGTAATGCAACTTAAAAGGTGAAACTAATATACGAGATACTCATTACTCACGCCGCATTGAGGCAGTAATTGCTGCAAAAGGGGCCCAAACCAAGTACTGAGTACATATGCATGCTTATACTTTTCAGAGGTCCAATATTGTTCTATGTACAATCCTTGTTTTATTGATTGCATGTAATATTCTAATTCTCTGAGATTGTGGATTTGGGGTTTTCATGAGCTGTAAGCCATACTCATCACAATTATGACAAATCACAGCTTGAACGATCTTGCTTTGCATGTAATGAGTCTATCTCATATATTAGTTTCACCTTTTAAGTTGCATTACTGAAATAAATGAACTTTTGCACGATACTCTAATTTTTGGAGTTTCACCTGTAATAATACAATAATAAAATAAAATTAATAAACAAAAATAAAAATCAGCATATTATTCAACATGCAATTAACACATATTCAGCTTTGGGTGGACTTGATGTTTAATTGCCTAAATAAATGAGGAGTGTTCATAATAAAGCCCAACTAATTAACGCTCTTTGATAAGCAAGAAGCAAATATGCAGACCTGATCAAGTATTGTCTGTACCTCTCTCTAACAACATGGTGAATGACAGCTAAACTTACAGAGATTGAGAGGTTCCTATGAAATCATGGGAGCTATTTTTTTTACCAGATTCAGACCTGCTCAGCTAGTGTATCCCTACTGCACTCTCTGAATCCTTCTGGCAGCAGCTACATCATGGACACAGCAGCTGTGTAGAAACCCACTACAGCAGACTTTTTCAACCAGGGTGCCTTGCAGTTTCTTCAGGGGTGCCTTGGCAAAATGTCTAAAAATTGCCCAAAATTTGTATACAAGCCAGTGGGTGGAACAAGCCTGCCTTTTAGTTACACAAAGCCACAGGTTTTCATTGTGCACCGTTATGATCTTCTAGTCACCGGCGTCCTGCCAAACAATTAAATCATCAGTTGATAAGGAGGATGTCAGTTGCCTACACATCATCCTTGTTTGACCCCCCTCTGCCTCTGCAAAAGTGTATTTGCTTTAGAAGAATAAATCACCTCTAATGTTGGGTGCCCTACATGTGTGGATGTTGCTGCGTTATATAAAACTATTAGAATAATTTTTACATTTTAAAATGGGGTGCCTCAGGACTGTCCATAATTTTAGAGGGTGCCTTCAAATAGTCCATAATTTTAAAAAGGGTTCCTTGACTGAAAAAAGGTTGAGAAACACTGCACTAGATGAACCACATCATCCAGTAGGGGGCACTCTGTCACACCCAAACTTTATTTTTTTTTGTTTTGTTTTTTACATAGCCAGAGATTTTCTTGATCCATGTGTGCTTATTCTAAACAGGCATGAGAAATTCATGGTTTCTAAAATCCCCAGGCATATTCAGTTATTTCAGTTAAAGTCTTCCAAAAATCATTTAGATGGAAAAAGGTGTAATGCCATTCAACAACTTCAATACAATATTAGCTGCCCTGAAAAATGAGAAACCTATGCAGATCGGGAGTGCTGACTTCATGAGAACTTCTGTATTCTGCAGGTTTGTTCCAGGGAAGTAAATACAACAATACTGAAGCCAGACAGCCAACAAATTAGTTTCAGAGGGAGGCCAACAATGGCAGCCCACATATTTTTTTCAAAATAGATTTCCTTTAATTCAGAGTAAAGTTCACACCAGAAAAAAAAAACACACAGAGACAAATTAAGAATGTGGACCTTTAACAGGTCTGCGCTGGTATATACCATGTGTATAGCATGCTGTATGTGATAAGCAGCATACTGCTAGACTGTGCCAAGTACATTGACGGGAATTCAAAAACTGAATCTGGAGGAGCTGTGCAAGGCAACTAATCAGTTTCATTTACAACACTTAAACCAAATTATAGAATCCGATTGGCTACTATGCACAGCTGTTCCAGATTCGGTTTTCTCCAGTTTTGATAAATGTCTCCCCACTGTATTTTTCTTCAACCACTCACACATAAAATAAATAATAATAAAAAAAACAAAATGGTGTGAACAGGCTCTAAAATAAAACCTCGATGACCATAATGGGAATATAAAAAAAATCTTTTAGAAATCTCTTACAGAAAAGTATGTACTGAAGAGTTCGGCGATACTTGAGAAAGCCACTCTGTTGTCATTGTCACTGCCTATGCAGCAGCACAGAAGTCTGATCCGGGTCTCCCAGACTCTTGTAGCCGTCTTCTTGACATTGTACAGTAGCTGCTGTGACTGACTACTCTCCAGGTTGTGATCTGTTCTATCCACATAATACAGAGCTTTCTTGCGGCCCATCGGGTCAAACACAATAATAACGGCAACTGTTGTAACCAGGATGATAATCCAACTGCAATACACAGAAGAGGGAATTAAAAAAAGATTAATTAAAAAAAATTAAAAATAATAGACTCAACATGCAATTTTTGCAACAGTAGACTGCCTTCAGCGCAAGCGTAGGAGTTAATCAAATCAAAAGGTCGCTATCCAATGCCCAACGAGGAGTGATACATACACAGAGGATTGGGAGAAGATAGCCGTCATGATAGCAATGAGGAATAGCTCTGCCTGGTTAGCGATGGGAGAAAGGGTAACAGCATGAGAAGTCTATAACAATATGCAAGTTTGCTATAAACACTTGCACATTATGGCAAGAGCAGCAGACTTGTAATTCAGCTTTAATAAGATCACATGCAGGTGGCACTACGTCAGAAATGTAAAAGAATTACCAGCTTTGAAAAATCTGCAACTGCAAGGAGGCAGAGACACCTTTGTGCTACCAAAATGAAGAGATCCAAATGATCTTGTAAGAGTCGGTGTTCTCAGATACAATTAATTTGTTTTGTTATAAAATGACCAAAATTAGGCATTTCCCTCATCAATAAAGGGGTTGCCATTGAAGATCTTCTACAAAGTGCTTTTTTGCTTACTACTATGCTGACCCAATGGCACCCCATACTTACAACCATACGCCCAAGAAAATGTATGCAGATCAGAAAGTCAGATTCAAGTCAGAACTTCTTATCTGTTTGCTGATTCAGACTGGCAACTCAAAATATTAAAGTAAGAGGGTCAGCATGACAGCCAGGCAACTAGCATTTATCACAAGCCGAGTAGTCAGCACTGGAAACCCCTAACTTTTTTTCATGCCATTACTTTAAGTAATAAAGGAGAATGTAAAGTAGAAGGGTAGGGGAGGTATACTACAAACTTGGTTTTCCAGTGACCAACCCTTCAGGGCCGGTTCACACTGGGAATCACACAGAAATGCATTTTGCATTCCTGAGCGATTATGTTATTTCAGGTAGTTCTATAGCACCATCAATTTACGCAGTGCTTTACATACCGTATTTTCCGGCGTATAAGATGACTTTTTAACCCATGAAAATCTTCTGAAAAGTCGGGGGTCGTCTTAGACGCCGGTATACGGCGAGCCGGTGTCAGGGCGGCACTTTTTCGGGGGGGGGGGGGGGGGGGGCGGTGGTGCTGCCCCCCCCCCTTCCAATGGAAGGGACACTAAGTACAGGGGCGGGCAGGGGGCTGCTGTTTCTTACCTGGCTCCGGTCCCAGTCCCACGACGATCCAATCCAGGAAGCGCGGCTGCTCCTTCGTTCGCGCGGCCGCTCGGCTCCGCCTCCTCACCGGTGATTGGGCGCCAGAACTGTAGCTCAGGAAAGGCACACAGGCGGCCAATCACCGGCGAGGAGGCGGAGCCGAGCGTTCCTGCGCAAGTCGAGTGAGGGAGCGGCCGGTAAGTGTGCAGCAGCACCATGCTCGAAACACTATTGGCATTATTCCTCCCCCCCCCCCCACTGACACCAACATTGGGGCACTATTCCTCCTCCCCACTGACACCAACGATGGGGCACTATTCCTCCCCCCCCCACTGACACCAACGATGGGGCACTATTCCTCCCCCCCCACTGACACCAACGATGGGGCACTATTCCTCCCCCCCCACTGACACCAACGATGGGGCACTATTCCTCCCCCCCCCACTGACACCAACGATGGGGCACTATTCCTCCCCCCCCCACTGACACCAACGATGGGGCACTATTCCTCCCCCCCCCCACTGACACCAACGATGGGGCACTATTCCTCCCCCCCACTGACACCAACGATGGGGCACTATTCCTCCCCCCCCCACTGACACCAACGATGGGGCACTATTCCACCCCCCACTGACACCAACGATGGGGCACTATTCCACCCCCCACTGACACCAACGATGGGGCGCTATTCCTCCCACTGACACCAATGATGGGGCGCTATTCCTCCCCCCCACTGACACCAATGATGGGACGCTATTCCTCCCACTGACACCAATGATGGGACACCATTCCCCTCCCACTGACACCAATGATGGAACACCATTCCTCCCACTGACACCAATGATGGGGCACTATTCCTCCCACTGACACCAATGATGGGGCACTATTCCTCCCACTGACACCAATGATGGGGCACTATTCCTCCCACTGACACCAATGATGGGGCACTATTCCTCCCACTGACACCAATGATGGGACGCTATTCCTCCCACTGACACCAATGATGGGACACCATTCCTCCCACTGACACCAATGATGGAACACCATTCCTCCCACTGACACCAATGATGGGGCACTATTCCTCCCACTGACACCAATGATGGGGCACTATTCCTCCCACTGACACCAATGATGGGGCACTATTCCTCCCACTGACACCAATGATGGGGCACTATTCCTCCCACTGACACCAATGATGGGGCACTATTCCTCCCACTGACACCAATGATGGGGCACTATTCCTCCCACTGACACCAATGATGGGGCACTATTCCTCCCACTGACACCAATGATGGGGCACTATTCCTCCCACTGACACCAATGATGGGACACTATTCCTCACACACTGACACTAATGATGGGACGTAATTTTCGGTTTACAAATGAAAATCCATTGAAAAATAATGCTTCAGTTTACAATTTTTTTTTTGCAATACAAAGTGTATGTCGGTGCCGGGTTTTTTAAATACAATTGCTGGATTTTTTTTTTCTTCACTATAGCTCACAGAGCTGTCACTTTCCCCGGAGTTCAAGGAAGCTTCCTTTCTTTTAAGAAACTAAAAGGAAACATTGTTTCTTTTAACTTGGGGAAATAAACTAAAAGGAAACCTTTCTCTTTTAGCTGGGGGGAAAGTGACAGCTCAATCTCTGAGCTATAGTGAAGAAAAAAGAAAAAAAAAAAAAAAAAAAAAAAAGGCAGAAATTACATTACGCTGTTTATTTATTTTTTTTAATTGCCAGCAATTCTTTTACATTGAACTGTCAGTGGGGAACCTCGCTGAGAGCTGAAACATTAACACATGGTCGTCACTACTAAAATACCGCATGATTAATAAAATAACTCATGTGGTATTTTAGTAGAGTTTACTTTTTTCTGACCTCAGGAAAAGATTAATTGGTTTTCAATGCATTCCTATGCGAAACGGCGTTTCGGTTTACGAAATATATATATATTATATATATATATAAAATATATATATCATTCACATCAGTCCCTAACCCTCACGGGGCATACAATCTGAGGTCCCTAACTTGCATTCATACATACTTGTGGTGTGATTTGAGCCCATTCATTGTGAGTGGGCAGAACAGCATTGGACGGTGCATGCACTACTTACAAAAAAAAACCAAACCAAAACAAAAACTAACCAGATTGCGTAGTACTTCTGTACCATATGATCCGGTGCACAAAAATGCACTGCATTTGCAACGTCAACAACTTTATATCACCATTCACTTTAGATTGCAATTGCAGTACATTTTAAACGTGGTGTGGGAATTGCAAAAAAAAAAAAAAAAAAAAAAAAAAACGGTTTCCCGCATTGCAAGTCTCATTTCATTTTTTATGAAAGTGTTCTGTTCCCCGGAACTAACCTACATGTAGTACAGTGCTCCATCTTCATCTTTGTCTATGTGCTCTCTAAGGCCAGCTGAGAGCTAGGACAGGGCAACCCTCCTCCCTCCACGATCATCCAACAACAAACCTAGCAAGGAGATGGCTACTTTGACAAATAGCACTCTTTGCCCTCTCAAAGCACTTGCACGGTATGCAGGAGGAGAGGGGCTTGTCAGTTAAAAGGTTCCAGTCAAGCAGACTAGTCCTTTGACATAGAGAAAAAGTGCAATCAAAGTATCCATCTCCTTACTAGCTGCATTGTCAGACAGCCGTGGAGGGAGGAAGGGGCCCTGTCCAACCACACAGCTAGCTTTAGACAGAATATAAGAAGATGGAACAAAGTACTACATGTACTTTGTGACCTGGTGAACAGAACAAAAATCAAAATTAAGACTTCCTATTTAACCAACATGCAGGACAAGAAAAAAAAAAAAATACTAGTCACAAAGCTGTTAAAAGAGATTAAAACCCTTGGCACTGAAATTACCTGGCAACAACTGTAACCAGAATGACATGAACCACGGATTTGCCACACTGGACTCCATTGTCTGATACCCAGATCGCTCCTAACACTGCCCATACAAACTCTGGTAAATAGAGAGCCAGGCGGATGTAAACCAATTTGGGCATGCACTTCCTGGGCCCTGGGTTTGAGATTGTACCTGAAAAACAGAGCATCTGTAAAGAACATAGCTGTGGCATTATGTGTTTATCATGCACAACAATGAAAAGTGTCTGAGCTTACAACAATCAGCCAGAAGTCAAGGCAAAAAGAATAACAGATAATACTCGGGAAAAAAAACAAAAAAAAAAAAAAAAAACACAACTTTTTTCAATGGCCATCAAATCTATGCAATAGAAAATGCCATGAACCTGGCCCCAATCCTATAGTCACTCTTCCATACCAATAAACCTGATTTTTTTTTTTTCCTCTCTTTTGGTCACTTTTGTGCAGTTCATTTTGTTCTGAAGTCGAAATTCGAAGAAAGGGTTTGTTTTTTGGGAGATTTAGATGTGTTCAAAAGACCAAAATTACAATAGTAATGAATTTAGACAAATCCAAAATAATGAAACTATTATTCACATTATTTGAATCAAACTCAAAATGAATTAGAAAACAAATTTGAAATGTAAAACGTATTGCTAAAGCTAACTATTGTTGATTTCCTTCAAAGACTGTGTGTATTAGAATATAGCCTTCTTCAGAAGTTTGAATTTCAAAAAGAATAGCATAAAACAGAATAGAATAAAAAATAAAAGAATAGACTAGAAAAATAGAATAAAAAGAATATAGCCGCCTTCCGAAATTCGAATAGAACCAGCTATTCTTCACAAGGAATTCGGACAGAGATTTAAAAATTTTCGATTTGATCTTTTTGATTCAAAGTCGCTTTGAATACTTTGAATCCATTGGAAAAATCTGAATCTGGTTGAAAATGAATAAACGAAACAAATTTTGCTGCAAAAGCAACAAAACAAAATTAGTAACTTATTGAATCGATCTGAAACGAAACAAAATTTTTTAATTCTGTGCATGTCTATTGATCACCTTGGTAGAAGGGTGGAAATATGTTCGCTTTAATGCCTTAACAAAAGACACGGGGGGGGGGGATAAAAAGGTTTAACCTCCACCTATGGAAAAGCCTATTTTTAGTTCGGTGAAAATGTGGAATAGTCTACTACAAAAGCTAGTATGTGGCCAGCTCAGTAGATTGGTTTAAAATATTTCCAGGTGTTGTTTTTTATTTTTGTTCTGGTGGCAGATTTTTATAAGAGGTTAGGAAAGCAATTTTACCCAGTTAGAACAAATTGGGCCAAAATTTACAAGGGTGTTTTTGTCTCTCTCTGTATAAAACTGCAGGTATTGGATTTTTATTTTAGTGAATTCAGTGGACAATTGTCCTTTTTCAATGTAAAAATGGAATTAGCATTTTAAAAAGAGTAGCAACAACCTATATATCTGTATTCATAAAAGGTTTCAAGAAGATAAACTGATCACAAACCTGGGCAACTGAAAAAGAACCTGATGCTCAATGGATGCTTTACCCCAGTTTTTCCACTCACCAACCTAGGGCTTCTCTTCTTACAAGGGTGAATATATCCTACAAATGTCACAAGTGTTCTTCCTCTGGTATTGTGTGGATTCTAAATGGTGCAGAGAATTGCACCACATTATTGCATGGTGCCACTCGATGCAGCATTCTCAGTTTAGAACAGGGCAAGGCCTTTGGTGACCTGGGCTCACAGGATGTGGGTTGAATGAGGCCAGTCCTCAAATTATTCAACCTGGAAGAGAAGCAGCACTGGACTGGTATGTGAGCAAGTCTGCAGGTGACAACACAATAGAAGAAGTGAATGCTGCAACCAGAGCAGAATTTGAGTTTTGGTGTGATCAGTCTGCCAGGGCTGGAGCGGTCGGGGTCTGATGTTTCGTGTGGTCTTCATGCATTTTTCTTCCCGTCATTCGGGTACAGATTAATCTTAGTTTCATCTGGCCAAAGAAAGCTTTTCCAGAACTGGTTTGGCTTTTTTAGATTTTTTTTGGCAAAGTCTAATCTGGCTTTTCTATTTTTCAGGCTTATGAACGGTTTGCACCTTGTGTTGAATCCTCTGTATTTTCTCTTGAAGTCTTCTCTTGATTGTAGACTTGATAGGCCCACCTCCTGGAGAGTGTCCTTCACTTGTCTGGATGTTGTGAGTGGGCTTTTCTTTACCATAGAGAGGATCCTGTGATCATCCACCATTGTTGTCTTCCGTGAACATCCATGCCTTTTTATGTTGCTGAGCTCACCAGTGCATTCTTCTTTCCTCAGAATGTACTAAACTGTTGATTTGGCCACTCCTAATGTTGCTGCTATCTCTCTGATGGATTGGTTTTGTTTTTGAAGCCTTACAATGGCCTGTTTCACTTGCATGGACAGCTCCTTTGAACGCATGATATAGGTTCGCAGCAATCGATTCCAAATGCAAATAACACACTTAGAATCAACTCCAGACCTTTTACCTGCTTAATTGATGAAGAAATAACAAAGAAGTAGCCCACACCTGGCAATGAAACAGCTTTTGATTCAATTGTCCAATTACTTTTGGTCCCTTGAAAAAGGGGGGATGGCTATTTTTAAAAGCTGTAATTCCTAAACCCTTCCTCCAATTTGGATGTACATACCCTCAAACTAAATCTGAGAGTGTGCACTTTCAGCCCATATCCATTATATAACTATAGCTTGAATATGTTTTGGTAAATACCTGAAAAGAACTAAAATTGTGCCTGTGTCCAAATATATATGGACCTAACTGTATATCTCAACTTTTCCTATAAAATTTGAAATTGGGTTTAAACTCTCCTGCCTTGCAAGCTCTGCAAACTGGTCCTCATATGTGAATAGCAGCCTCCTCCACCAGGCAAGGCTTCAGGTCCATACACACTAGGGGCAGAAAAAAATGCCAGAACCTCTGTCAGAAAAAAAGCAGCACAAAAGATGTTCATAGTGGCTCGTATTACACAAGCGTTTATGAGAGTTTTGGGCATATGTTTTTTTATAACCGTTTCTTTCAAAACATACCCCTTGAATCACTATAATCAATGTACACTTGAAAATGCTGAAAGGTCTTAAAAGTCACTTTTATGAACATTAACCCTTTTTTTCTGCCTGAAAGCTCCTCCTGAAAATGCGACTTTGAAGGGTTCTGTTCTGCCTCTAAATGCTCCTCTGAAAATATACCTGGAAACGTCCTAATGTGCACAGACACATGCTAACAAAGATGCGTCTACAGGCTGAAGGGGGGGACCGGGCAGAGCCATGCTCTGTGTGTTCTATGGACACACAGAGCCAGCTTGGGAGTGAGCCTGCACGAATGCCCCCAACTCCACGGCATGTAGCTTCTTACAGGGGTACTTGGAGAGGGGGGGGGGGGGGGGGGGGGGGGGGGGGGAACCAGCAGTGCTAGAGGGGGACCCGAGCAGAGGAGATCCAGGGCTGCTCTGTGCAAAACCACTGCGCAGAGCAGGCAAGTATAAAACTGTTTAATGTCTCTTTAGGAGGTAAGAAACAGCAGAACCAAGTTTCACTTTACATGAAATGTTGAGATCTACAAATAAGTAGATATGTTGATCTACTAAACATTTTGCTAAATTTTGTCACTTTCCAGATTTACAATTATTCTTTTTAGCCTAAAAAGCCAAGAACTAGATATCTTGTACAAAAACAGGTGATTGTTTCCATTAAAATGAAAAAATACAAATACAATATGTGATGTAGCTATGTGTCATTCTAAATTCTCTTCTAAGAAGAAACGTCAGACAAGTTAAAACAAGCTACAAATTCCAGCACAATGTATGGCTTGGAGGTATTTAAAGATGCATACAGAAGATCTCCCATATCAGGTAATGTGTAGAATGTGAATGTACACAATTGTTACATAGGTGCAGGGAGGGTTAATCTGTAAATCATCCAATTCGATATAAAGCAAAAAGGGATACGCTGCTTCAGTCACTTGTCTCTTAACCACTTCCAGTCCGGACACTTTTACCCCCTTCCTGTCCAGGCCAATTTTCAGCTTTCAGTGCTATCACACTTTGAATGACAATTGCGCGGTCATGCAACACCGTACCCATATGAATGTTTTTAGCATTTTTTGAGACAGATAAAGCTTTATTTTGGTGGTATTTATTCATCACTGGGTTTTTTTTTTTTTTGCTATGTAAATTAAAAAGTCCAAAAATTAAAAAAAAAAATGTTTTTCTTATACAATTTTGCAAATAAATAGTATTTCATCATAAATCTTGGCCAAAATGTATTCCGTTATATTTTTAGTAAAAAAAACAAAAACACAAAATTAGTTTAGAACCAAAAATTATAATTTTCAAACATTTTTTTTTCACTTTTTTTTATATTATTTATTATTAATTTTTTTTTTTTTTACATACTGTCACCCTAGTAGTACAGTGTCACCATGGTGACACTGTACTACTCGTGGGGGTGATGAAGATTTTTTTTTTTTTTTTTTTACACTGATTGCTTTTACACCCATAAAGGATGTGAAAGCAATTATTTCTCCTTTCTAGCTGCATTCTTGCAGCCATTGAGAACTACTGAGTGAGCTGTGATTGGTCACAGCTTGTCACATGGTACAAGGCTGTTGTGAATAGCCTTGTACCATGTGATGTCTGTGATCATTCACAGATTTCACATGTAGTAAGCAACGATATCACAAGTGACATCTTGCTTACTACTCTGCATGTGATCACTGATTGGCCAATCAGTGATCACATGATAGGGACCTCGTACAGAGGTCCCGTCCGACGATCGGTGTTCCACTGTGTCCGGAGGAAGCGCGTACAAGCAGGGGGCGGGGAGGCAGTTTTTAAACGGCCACCCGACCCTGCACTGCCACCGTCCGGCCATTTATATACAACGGCCGGACGGGAGGTGGTTCAATTATTTTGTTCCACAGAGCCCATGATGAAAAAATTAGCCAAGTCTTACTCCTCTAAAAGCAAAAAGCATTGTTAGAATATTACAGTAGAATGAAAAGCAAAACTTTTTTTTTTATGATATAATTTTCAATAGCATAAAGGGAGGGTCATAACCCCAGCTAATTTTTTTTGCCATCTATGCCCCATTGGGGAAATTTCAATTCAGTTGCTGTCCCTTTGCCAATA